TACTTTAAAGAGTTCAAAGCCAATGGATGCAACCACTTTAAAGAGTTCAAAAACACTAGGATGCAGCTGTTTTAAAGAGTCGCAAACAGGTGGATGCAGCTGTTTTAAAGAGTTCAAAGCAAATGGATGCAGCTACTTTAAAGAGTTGCAAACAGATGGATGCAGCTACTTTAAAGAGTTCAAAAGCAGTTGGATGCAGCCATTTTAAAAAGTTGCAAATGGGTGGATGCAGTTATCTTAAAGCGGTCCAAACAGATGGGTGCAGCTACTTTGAAACTCAGTAAAACAAAGGGAAGCAGCTGCTTTAAAGAGCTGCAAAGAGGTGCCTGATGCTTTTGCCTTAAATCTAAGCATGGCATGGCTGTGGTTGTTGTTGTTGTTATTATTGGAGCTGCTGGACTACAACTCCTGCTCAAAAGAATTTGCTGAGAGAATCCAAGCCTGGGTTTTGCTTCGCTTGGCTTTATGGCTGTTGGGAACCCCTCTAACCATGACTCAACCACCAGGCATTGCGGGGAAAACTGACCAGCTAAAAGAGCGTGAATGTTGAGCGCCCGGTCTTGATCCGACGGGCGACAGACGTCAATCATGTAGGCATGGCTGGGGTTGTCGGCGGAGTCGGCACAGAAGTCCATCAAGATGACACCGCAGATAGTCAGCGCGATGCCCCATTTGTGGTTGTTGCCCGTGTCTGAGATGGTAGCGCCGATATCCCGGCCATTCAGCATCAGGGAGAGTCCCACCAACGCCCCTGCGGAGTAGGCAGAAACGTCCACCGGAAGAACAGTAGGTCCACGCAAGCAACGGGCAATAACACCCACATCCCCACAACCGTTTGTTTCTTCAAAACCCCGAAACCTCGTTACAAGTAGTCCCAGACTTACAACAATTCACTTAGCGACCATTCAAAAGGTCCAAACCGGCTGAATCCCACCCCTGCCAACTCGTCGCGTTTCTCCAAACCGGCTAAAGCAATAAGCTAAACGCATCTCCCCGCAAGCAGAAAGGCAGCGTGTCAGCATTTTAACCCAGGCTTTCTTGGAGGGCTAGCTCTCTCAGTGCGAGGAGACACCCCCCCCCCCCCCCCCCACACACAATTACCGATCGCCAGAACAAGGATGAAAGGTCTCCGCCGGCCCATCCGGGAGGTGCACCGGTCACTCCAAGCTCCCAGTAAGGGCTGCAGCAGGAAACCTGGAGTGGGGGAGGGGGGACAAAGAAAATTGCAGCCACGTGACTTGGCTGTTGGTATTAGTAAAAGAATTCTTACTGGTTCCTTGACTGGGCTCTGGTTCACTCACACCAGCCCAGGACAAGCCACTAGTATATAAATAGAGAACAGATCCCACTCCTTTCTAGCACTGATGATGTTACCCAGTTCGGTAATAAAACGTCATTATCCTCCTCCTTTCTTTTTTCCTCCTCCTCCTCTTCCTCTTCCTCCACCCTCCTCCGTCATTATTCTCCTTTTCCTTCTCCTCCTCCTCCTCTTCCTCTTTGCAAACCTCGCTCTCTTCCAGCACTGATGAGGTTACCTCGTTGGGTCACGAAACGTCTGCAAAACCTTCCCCACCCCGCAATCAAACGCAGAGAGCCCTCTTCAACCCTAAAGCTGCAAAGACCCTCTTCTGTCAGACAGGAAAACCACCTCCCTTCTTACACCAAAGAGAATCAAGAACGGTTCATCTAGAGTCCCTTTCTCGCCCTCACCCTCTTTCCGGGGGTGTAATAGCTGGTTCCTTTCTCCCTAGCAGCTCTTAAGGCCAAGGCTCTCTTGACAAGAGCCGAGAGAGGTGCGTCTAGGAGTCCTACACCGGAAACGCATGGCATTTCGGACATTTCAGGACCGGGTCCCCGATTTTAACTCCCTCACCCAGGATTGGGCTGATAAACCACACCATCCCATACAGCTGATCGGGCAGGCCCATCTGAAGCAGGGCCGGCGTGACGTAAGCGGTCTCCATGGCGTAACTGAACTCGATCCCGAACAAGATGCACCCGTTGAACAGCAGTTCCAAAAATGACCTCTCCGGGTGGATCTCGGCGAAGGGGGCCCGGTCCTTAGGGCAGGGGGTGTTGGGAGGCGGCGGCGGGGAAGGCCGGATCGATTTCCTCCGCTTCGGATGCCGTTTGAAGTTGTTGGCCCGGTGGCTGATGTGCCGAGGGACGGAGCTGGAATAATGCATGACTTGAGTCCTCCAGAGATCCGGCGAAGAGACGGTAGGGAAGAGCAATTCGCTGGACGGACTGGCGAGGATGGTCGGCGCCGTCATGTTGGGCGTGCTGCAAGGAAGAGACGCGATGAGTTTACTCGTGGGAGATGACCAGGCTGAGCCCAAGAGAAGGAGGAGTCAAACGCCTCATCGGCCTCGAATCCCTTCGTTCCCACAAGCGATCTAAGTCCAGCCCTCCTTGAATTCTTTCGACTCTTATCTACCGTCAATTCGCTTTGAATGTCAGTAATTTGCATTCTTGTGGAGAGCTTAAGCTTGCAATAAAT